TTAAAGGTCTATTACCTAGAAAACAATGTTCCACAAAATGTTCATAATGCTCCACATCCGAACTTCATGTATTGACATCAACATTATGACATTGCCATTTTATGAAGTGGGTTGAACCAGAGTCATTAGCAAAGATCATTATAGCCAACATATGAAATTTTTTAAAGGAAACATTTGGCCAAGTATGGGATCCCTTAGGTTTTCGTGACATGTAATGGAACAAATTTACGAATAAGAATTTGAAGAAGCTGCTGAAGGATCTGAAAGTCAAGAAACACCTTACATAGGTTGAACATCCCTATACAACAGACAAGCAACGCGAAAAATTGGATTTTGCTAAGGGATTTAAGAGAAGACCTGGAGCGGCTAAGGTAAATTGGGCAGAGGAACTCTCATATATTCTTTGTGCCTATAGAACTACTTCTCATTAAAAAATGGTGAGACACCCATTCGACTTAGTTAAGAGAATAAAGTCTTTATTCTTGTCAAGATAAGAGAACAAATTTGGAGAATGACACACCCCGTACCAGAGGAAGACAACACACAAGTAATCAGGGAAAAAGGTAGATTTTTTAGAAAAAAAGAGAATTTCGGTCATCCTCATGAGTGTTGTCATGAAATAGACAATCGTGATCATGTACAACAAAGAGTCTGACGTCAAGAGTTATATCCTAGTGATTTGGTGTTAAGACAGGTTGATGTCTGATGAAGAATGTCGTGGACGAAAAACTTGCAACCAATTGGGAAGGATCATACATGATTAGGGCTAGCACAAGAAACAAATCCTAGACTCTAGAGACCCTGCATGGAGAATCAATCCCAAAGACGTGGAATGCTACTAAACTCAAGCAATATGTTAGCTAAATATTCCCTAGGTTGTACGAATGCAAATTGAAAATTAATATATAATGTAATACTTTGATATGAGTTATGCAATGACCTTTGATGAATTATATAATTATATTTTCCTAGTGAAGAATATGATGTATGATTAACAATGCCAATTAAGTCGATGTTGTCACACTCCCTTTTGATAGCTAGCCCTCTAGAGCACAAAAGGTGGAACTTTGGATACGTCAGCCTCAAACCATATTTTCATCTAAAACAAGAAAGGGAAACCGACCTTTGACTGGGCATAGTCCCTAAAGACGTTAAAGCAAAGTGGGTGTCTAACTAGTCCATGTAGTTCATATAATATAATAAAATCGTTAAAGACTATATGCTAAAATAAAATCATAGCACCGGGTCCACTTTTCCCTGTGTATGTCAACTCCTTTATATCCACTCAAAGCTTCATATATATCAATTGCTCTAGAAATTTGATTCATTTGTGATTAAAAATTATTTTGAACCAACCAACCATAATCATATTTATCTTTTGTGTACACTTTTTGTAGTTGTGTTTATGCACACCTTTTATAATTGTGTTTATGTACACCTTATGCCATTTTAGAATACCTTTAATGCAATTTTGATTTAATAACTTTGATTTGAATCAAGTAATGTATCAAGATTTTAGTTTAATGCCATTAAATTCAATATTATATTGATATAAGAAGTCTTGTTACGATAAATCTAAAATATTATAAAATTCGATCCCGTAGATAACAGGGTACAAAGTCACTTTAATTACTTTGACCCTTTAATTAATTTTATAAAATTTCAATTTTATTTCTTATTTAATTTGTTGACTCACTATTTTGACTTTTATCATAATAGCATACATATATATAATTTAAAGTTTTTTTCATAAAATTTAATAAAAAAGACCGACTTGACTAACATAATAATTTTTTAAAAATTAAAATGTAATATTTAATAGATAAAGAAAGAAAATAAAACATTAATTTAAATTAAATTAAAAGACCTCATGATTAAGGCTATAAAAATTAGATGATATAACCGATTCATTTATGTAGTTTGACATGAAATTGCAAAAATGTTAAATATTTTTAAGAAAGAATTATTAGTTTGTGAAATTGCATAAAGAAGATTCCTAATTTCATATTAAAAAAAGCTGATTAGCGACGATTTTATAATTTTGATTTATAAGATGAGAGATACACTCTATATAAATATTTTAGAATTTTTATATTTAATTAATATAAAATTTATGATCTTTTTAATACACTCTCTCATATATCTAACTTATAAGATGAAGAAGAGAATCACTTTACATAAAGTTTTTAAAGATTCAATGTTTAAGTCACGTGAGACTTTAGATCTTTTCAATACAATTAAACACACCCTTCTAAAATCAATGACATATTAACTATTAAAATATTAGTAATTAAAATTTAAATATTGAAGAAGAAAAAAAACCATCACCAATGGCGTAGTTTTGAATTTTATGTTACTTTTGTGGTAATGTGGAAGAAAGAAGTTGGGGATAGGAATTGAGAGGCTGCAATTGCATTGCATTTATTACAAGAGAAGAAAACTGGTGGTGGCGGTGCCCTTAGAAACCAGAGGAAGAAGAAGAAGAAAAAATCAAAGGGTAGGTATATGAAACGTGTTGACATGGGTATAGCTTGTTCAAATGCTTGTTCAAATTAAATGTAAGTATGGTATTTTATTTATAAATACTAGAAGTATTAGTATTTGATAATATTTTTATATCTTAATATAAATATAGATATTTATTTAAAATTTAAGGATTTAGTAAATATAAAAATAGTTTTAATTTTAATTTTTTTTTCAAATTATTAATTTATAAATATCAATAATTTGTTTACTTTAATGTATAAATATAAAAATGGTTTTAAATGATCTTTTCTCCTGAAATAAGTAGTCTTTGAACAAGTTAGACTTTGATGTTAATTGCACAACACATATTTTATTAAAGAATATCTATAATTTCATTTTATGATCAAAATATCACTGATCCCGTCATCCACAAATTTCACTTTGTTCTTTATGGCATAATTGATTTTGACAAACCAATTCTGCCTCCCCGTTATATGAGTAGAACAACCAGAGTCCAAATATCATTCTTCGTTGCTCTAAACTCCCTCTTTCGCACTCATCATAGTGTTTTCTGCTTCTTGAAATCGGTTGGTGTTTTTATGTAACCGGTTAAATCACGTTTCTATAGCGTTCTCGGAATTGTTGCTGCTACCACATTCACCTTTTGTGATCATGACCAAGAGTGTGTTCTCTTCATCAAACTCTTGTCTTGCCACCTTAACTTCACCACCTTGAGGTTTTTTCTTGTTCGCGTTGCAATCTCTTGCATAATGACCAAACTTTTGGCAATTAAAGCATTGAATCTTGCTCTTGTTAAGCCTTCCCTTTTCACCTCTAAAGTTGCATTGATCATCATTCTTGTTGCAGCTGCTCTCACCCTTTTGACAAGTCGGATTCTTCGAATTTTGATACTCTCTTCCACCAAAATTTTGAAAATTCTCTTTACTCTTCATGGACCATTTTCCTTTCGACTTCTTGTTCTTCTCATTGAATCAAGCTTGCAAAGCGACATCCGTCTTTGCCTTGTCGTTATTTCTATCCTCCATCTTTTGTTCATCGCCGTAAGATCCTTCGATTCCTCAATCGGCGCCACAATGTTGTCAAATCTTGTCGTTAAAGAACGCAAGTTTTTTGATACAACATTCTGCCTAGTAACAGTTTCTCCACATGCCTTAATTTGGTTCACCAATCGAGTAATTCTCGTCATGTAATCGTTGATTGTCTCATTTTCCTCCATTTAAATTAATCTGAGTTGACGTTTGTGAGTTTGTAACCTCGCCACCTTCTCCCCGTTATATGAGTAGAACAACCGGAGTCCAAATATCATTCCTCACTGCTTTGAATTCCCTTTTTCACACTCATCACAGCGTTTTATGCTTCCTGTAACTGGTTGGTGTCTTTATGTAACTGGTTAAATCACGTTTCTACAACATCCCCGAAACTGTTGGTGCTGCTACATTCACCTTCTGTGATCATGACAAAGAGTGTGTTCTTTTCATCAAACTCTTGTCTTGCCACCTTGGCTTCACCCCCTTGAGGTATTTTCTTGTTCACGTTGCAATCTCTTGCATAGTGACCAGACATTTGACAATTAAAGCATTGACCTTGCTCTTATCAAGCCTTCCCTTTTCACCTCTAAAGTTGTCTTGACCACCATTCTTGTTGCAGCTTCTCTCACCCTTTTGACAAATCAAATTCTTCGAATTTTGAGACTCGCTTCCACCAAAATTTTGAAAATTTCCTTTACTCTTCATAGGCCATTTTCCTTTCGACTTCTTGTTCTTCTCATTGAACCAAGCTTACAAAGTGATATCTGCTTTTGCCTTGTTGTTATTTCTCTCCTCCATCTTTTGTTCATCGTCGCAAGATCCTTCGATTCCTCAATCTCCTCCACAATATTGTCAAATGTTGTCGTTAAAGAATGCAGGATTTTCGATACAACATTCTACTCAGTAACAGTTTCTCCACATGCCTTAATTTGGTTCACCAATCGATAGTTCTCGTCACGTAATCGTTGATTGTCTCTTTTTCCTCCATTTGAATTAATTCGAGTTGACGTTTGTGAGTTTGTAACCTCACCACCTTCTCCTTGTCAGCTCGTGCATATGCCTTTTCCAAGATATCCCACACTTGTTTTAACGATTCGCAATCACCAATTTTCTCAAAGTTGTCACCATCCACATATTGATGGATTAAAAACGACGCCTTATAATCTTTCTTCTACTCTTCCTTATGTGTTGCTTGTTTTGCATCCGTTACACCTTCGACAAGAGGACTCACCCTGTTCTTGATCACTTCAAGAACATCTTGGTAGTCAAACAAGACTTTTAGTTCGGAGACAAACTTCAAATTGCACACTAGGTGTTTGGAAGATTAGAACCAACCTTTTGATGCCAAAATTTAGAACATGGAATCACTTTTTGGAGGGAGGG